GATACGGCGACCACCGAGATCTACACTCTTTCCCTACACGACGCTCTTCCGATCTGGGCGCCATCATTGCGTTCTTATGGGTATACTGTAAATAAAAGGGTGCTCTTAATTGGTGATCGGTTGATTAAGGGTATTCGGTGATCAGCTGGCCCAAGTGATGGTGGTTGCGCTCCTGAGTTGGTGATCGGTTGACTTTGGAGTATCTGGTGATCGGCTGGGCGCCATCATTGCGTTCTTATGGGACTTCTCTATGATCGATATTCATAAAAATATTTTTACTAATTAGCTATTTTCCATAACAGGTGAAATCAGAAATTTCAAATAAGTCTTTAATGTATTGTTGGCAAAATATTGTCAACAAAAAGGAAGAAGTAAGTCAATATTATTACAATTCGTTTGCTCTATTACTAGTATATTTATTGATTTCATTCATTATATTTTGATAAACAGAAATCTGTAATCAATAATCATATCTCCGGTAGCCTAAAAATATTGGACGCAACGGCTAAACATACTGCAAATACAATCGTTTCGAAAGTTTCGAATCTTCGAGAGATAGATGCAGATGTTAATGAACGTTCAGAGGTGTGTATTTTTTGTTAGGAGTTGTGAAAGTCGACAAAATGTTGGCCATAAGATATTAACTCTTTCTTTGTGTTTAGTCCGATGATGATTTCAGACCTCCAAAAAAGTCCACAAAGCGGAAAAAAAATTTATCGTTACGAAAGGTCGGGATATTGATAAGGCATTGAATCTTATGTAATCATTTTTTAATGATTTATTATACTTACAGAGTAAAGAGTCGGTTGATTCGGCTGTATCCAAGAAGGTCAGTATAAATGCATCCTATGATGATAAAGGCATACCATTAATTTTCTATTATTTTTGTGTGAACAGGTCAGAACCACGATGGGCATGCCATCATTACCGGTAGTACGAAGAGAGGCAACAGCACAATCAAATTCATCGAATAAATCAAGCATAGTCCGATATTCGTCATCAAATTCGGAAAGTGGAGGGGCTACAGGAATTACTAGTGGTATAAACGAAATTAATAGTTTGGAGTATGATAGGTCACATACTCCGCCTCATCAAATTCGCTCTGCATCTGAAAATCAAGACCTACTTAAACGATTAAGACAGGAAAAACAGCGAACGAAATCCACGTAGCAAGTAAAACATGTCTATTAAAGCTGATTTATAATCCTATTTTATATTATTAGCTAATTATCACTATTTTTTATTAAAGCGAACCAATCTGTTCGAACATAATTGACACAACAAACAAGCTTTTAATGAATAGATTGAAAATCAAACGCGACTACACATGGGATCCTGTCACTAATGAGGCTACAAAATATATTGATGAATTAATCGATAACGTATGTTTTTTAAGGATTGACACTAGTAATTTCTATCTTTGATTTTAGTCTGATACTCGCGATAAATTCCGTTGCAAGCTTCAACTTTCATATGTTCCACCAGATGAAACATATTCATTTAGCAAACACTATGAAATAAAATGGGTTCATTGTTTTGCTGACAAATTGTGAGTTAGATCTCGTTTTTATAAATACTTTTTATGTCAATACCTATCTCATAATAAATCACATTATCTAGGGCATCATTTTTTGAAGCTCCGCGGAATCCGCTCTTAAATAAAAACTCAGAAGGTTGGCTGAATTGCCATATCTTGGCTTCGCTAATTGAGGATTGCTTTCTAACATGCGAGGAAATTCAAGTTCATCGGTTAGTATGAAGTTTCCTAATAAATTTAATACGATAGTTGATTTCTTAGCTTTAAGTCTCAAATCACTTCTTTCTGCCACCTCAGAGGTGAAGAGATGTCATTGGCATCTATTGAGCGTAAAAATTTATCAAGGGAAGAATCGGAAAAAAAGCAATATGGGCACAAAATTGATATTATTTTTCGCATCGATGACATAGAATATTTTGGGTCAGAAACGTATGCTGATGAAGATTCACAAAACTCCAAACCGATTTCCTACAAGCAAAAACTTTTCCGCGAAATGAAGGATCAACTAGACCGTCTCTTAAAGAAGCTAAAATTTACAAGGGAAACGATTAAGGAGATAAAGAATATTGCTATACATGGAATAAATCAAGGAGGTAATTATAAGAAGCAATGGTGAAATTCATATATCAACTCTTGGTTGAAACTACTCTTTACATTCAATAAAGGTCATAATGGAAAGATCTATGCAATGTACTACGATAATGACCTTCAATGTTATTTCGTTTTTGAGACATGTCGGTATCGGATCGGTACTACGTGGGGAAGTATTCCAGAAAGTCTCATGTCTTTAAAAGATATTCTATGTTTAAAGGTATGTCTTTATATTATCAATTTTTTATAAATTTCAGTCTCTAATTGTTTTCGATAATTGCAGAAAGATATAAACCATGTTCTTGATACTGTTAAGAAAATAAAATTAATTGCTTTACGCACAAAGTCAGAGGATTTATTTACAATAGATAATCTCCCGGAAACAACAGTATCCCCCAAAAAACTCCCGAGAATAAATAATAGTACATAAGATTGTGCTGGAGTCAATTGTTAGTCTTACATAATCTATGATTATTGGATCAATTTATTTTTTTTTTCTTTAGACTTAGATATGCGAGATGTGGATCGGAGGTCCAGGTTTCGATATCTGATGCTGAATAGCTGATAATGTAGTCTAGATTTATTGTTTCGTAGTTCGTAGTTATATAATAGAAATTCATCACTCAGAGATTTTTCTAACCCTTAAATGGTCATGTAAATATATCAATCGCATTTCTCGCTGAAATTTTATTGCATGAATTTATAAAGAATTAAACATATTTGTATTCTATATAAAAAAGGCAAATACGGAATCTAAAATCGATACGTTGCAAGAATTAAATTTGAAGCTTTTGGCTGAGATTTCTGAACTTAGAAAAAGTACTCTGATATCGAAGCTGAGAATGTGAGGCTAAATCAGGTTATAGAAGAGAATACAAGAGTCAAGGAATTAGAGCAAAAGAATATAGAGCTTGAGACTAGGCTCTCTATATTAGAACGGGGAAATATCAAAAGTATTTCTACGGAAGATGTTTCACAATCTCCAGTAAATTATAACGATACTCCAAAACAGATAGTGCAACAATGTGATGATACCCCGGTATCTGATATAACCGATAACACTTTAAAATTCTAACGATGAGAAGTCTAACACATCTAGCCACGAAGTGCCTGTCTCCAACAATTCTGATATATACCAGGATTCGATGATCCTCATATCTCCCGCAGAAACCATATCATTGGAAGAGAAGGAAGGAAGAAAATGAATTCCTGATAAAGTGCATGGAGAAACGGTTAGTAATAAGATTAGAGAAAGAAAACTTGAAAAAAAGCTATTACAAAATAATGAAGCACCTGCTTCTTCAGGGGGAATTAGGAGAGTTGATTTCTACCTCCATTATCATGTGATATGGAAACCGTGAACAGTGTTCACGATCAAGAAAAGATTTCACCAAAAGAATCAATACAAAATATATCTCAAAAATCTATTGGGAATTCAGCTGAAGCTAGTACATAAGTGCCAAGTGAATATGTACAAGGTTTGTTACAAGAAATTTTGGTAAACTCTATAGGAGAAAATATTGAAATCGTTAATAGTAAGCCTTCAAATTCTGCACCTGCTGAGCTTGCTCATTTGTTATGTCAGGCTAGCAAAGCGAGAAAAAAATCTGTTAAAGCTAAGCAGGAAGAAATTTTATCTTGGGGTCGCTATTCTGAAGCCATACCTCATAGGATTTCTGATGAGTATTTACGCAAAATAACAAGTAAAGCAAGAAAAATTCTTAAGACTTGCTAATATTGAAATCCAGTATATTATAGATCAAGTAATGAAAGTACAAGTTGGTATGACAGTATCAAAAACTGTAAACAATATTAATGAAGTGTCTGCCTCCAGCAATTCAGAAGATAATTGAAGAAGTCTCACGAAATGAGGATGCCATTGCATCTGAATCTTTACCAGAAACCGAGATCAAGATAAATATATCTACTAAATCTCACGTTTCCGATTCATATAAAGCTGAGGTAAATGTAGTGCCTAAAAAGGTTTGCCAGAAAATCAGATGAGTGCATTAGTATCCCCATTATATGAGAATAAAACTCAACCGTCAATTTCGATCTTATTTAAAGATCCAAAAGAGAAACGAAAACATATAATTAAAACGGTATTGGAGAAGGTTCCCAATTTATCTTTTAACTATAGTAATAAAAATATCAATTACTTTACTTGTTTAACATTATGTTGTATATGCGATAAAGTTCATAAAAAGGAAAATTTAGAAGATGAGTGGGGCAGTGGCGATTATGTCAATACAAGCACTTATCGCCTCAGATGCTAGGGAAATAAATATCGGTATTCTATCCAAATAGTAACGGTGAAAGCATAGATAGTTATTTCTAACAGTTATGTAATATTGACCTAATGCTATATAGCTGGAAGCTAGATTCATAAATATATTTTTCTATGAGCTTTTAATCAGCTATTATAACTAGTGCAAGTGATAAATCTCTGAATCTTTTTTCAATGTGTCAATATCTTTCTTGATAATATCTTTGATGAGAGTATCATTATTAACATTTTTTTTTACATATTGATACACACATATGGATTAAGGAACCTCCTTTATAATTATGTTCATAATATGGCAAAAATTGATACTCGTTTATTACAATATCTATAATTTTTTCCTGATCTACTATTAATTTCTGAAAAAACTGTCTATTTTCTGTAATTGGAAACGGATTTCTTCAAGTTTAAAGTCAATATATTGGGATAATTTTTCACATAATTCAGCCATTTTATACATTATAAAGCCTTGTATATAAATTATTTAAAATGCACAAAAAATAAATACAGTTTTAATTATCAATACAAAATTAAATTTAATAGATCTTAAATTCGATGTAATCACATAATATTTGCCGTAAAAAAATGAGTTTCACTTTAAAAACTCTGAATCAATTAATAATTAAATATGATTTATACAGATGAATGTCCAGTTTTGAGTAATATTGAATGAAGAAATAGCTGTCAATTTTCAATAATCCATGAAGGTGAAACTCCATCTGATTAGATGAAAGAATTTAAAATCAGTTAATATTAATTATAAAGACTACATGAACTTAAAAGTAGATCATAAACTAGTAACTCTTGATTTAAAAAAGAAACAATTTGTCATTAAATGCAGAATGTCATCAAAAAAGTTAAACATATAAAAAAAATTAATAAAAATCAGAGCCATAAATATTGCAAAAATAGCTTGAATATATTGTAAAGAATAAAAGAATAATTTATAATAATAAAAAATTTGCATAACTGGGTTTATAATACAACTAGTAGCTAGCTATTTTTATCTTTTTTCCTTTTTCCTACTTGAGTTCCTAAAGGTTCACATATGTCAACTTTATTTGCATTAGGCTAGGATTAATCTACTTACTTTGTATGTTAGAGATCCCTAGTGTAATGACATAAATGAAAGTTTAATAAATGTCTTGCATTTGATGCCTTTTGCAAAAAAAAAAAATTGCAAATATTACAATAATGTAATTATAGATACTGTATATACTTGAAACAATAAAGATAGAATACAAATATAAAAGATTATATGCACTGTACAATAAACAAAATATAATTAATATGTATATATTATGAAATATCAATAATATATATAAGCAAAAGCTAGAAAAAAAGTTAAATTGTTTTAAATCTAAACTGAAGTTAATAATCTTAGAAAGAAATTGCAAGATAAATATTTTAGCAAGCAAAAAATTTATATTAGAAGAAAAAGAATTAAATTAAAAAATAAAACAATAAAAAAGTATATTTAGTAATATTACTAGTAATAAACAGAAGTTACATATCCATACTTTAAAATTTATTAATAAGACTGAGTAATAATAACAAAACATATACTTGAAAAAATTATTAAAGTTCAAGTAGAATCAATTACATTTGAGAAACATCTTTTATTACTAATAATATTATCAATTTCAACAAGTAAGATTTTACAAAAACCACAAATAGTAATCTCACTCTTTTAAAACTTTATATCATCTGAAATATTTATTTTACAATTCTAATTACAACTCACAGAATCACAATATAAAACATCAATATGAAAGAAAATAATTAAGCTCAATTATATAACTAAATAGCAATAGAAAAAGTTCAAAACAAAAGACAAAAAAAACTCTTAGTATTATATTATAAGAAATCATAAAAGAACTTAATAAATTATAAATTATAAATACTTTCTAGTTTGATTAAATTCAAAACTTGTGAAATCTATTTGATAAAATCATTATCTTTATAGCCTTTAACAAGTTTTACACAGTTCATAAACCCTCAAGAAATATCAAAAGATATATAAAAAAACCAATAGACAGTAAAGAGAAGCTTCTGTTTTAAATTTATAAATAATTATATAATATATATAATAACAAAAAGACTTGACCCAGATTTTCATATCAACAATATAACAAGTCAAGCCAATATCCTAGCAGTATCAGAAATACAATTGCCATCAAAATCTCTAACAAAATCTTGAAATAAGTTTTACTTATATAGAACAAATTAAAAAACATATTCAAGAATTAATGCAACTGATTAAAAAAACATATATTAAAGAGAAAGAAGAAGAATCAATTAAGAAATTGCCAAAGCTAAGGATCCTAACGATTCTATTCGATTCTGTATTCGATTCTCAAGTTTATATTAAATTTAATAGGTGGGGTATACCCCACCATCATTTTTAATAGTGTTCCGAACCTCATGCGATTCTGTTCGATTCTATTCGATTCCAATTTTCGGAACCATAGCCAAAGCAATAAAATCTAGATATGTTAATCTTAAAATTAATTAAACATGAATTGTTCAAGTATTATAAACAACTTCAAAGACAAAATAACAATTGATAGAATCAAGATTATTGATGAATTAGAAAAAGAATATCTAATTACTAAGAAAAAAAATTTTTTTATCAAATCAAACTCTACTATCAAAAGGTTTTAGGAAATGAAATATCAATTTCAATCTGCTTGACATGCAATAAAAAAAGCAATACAAACTTAAAACAGAAATTCAATAAGTATTATATAACAAAATAGAAAAAAAATAAATACAGATAAATAAAGAAATATTGCAAAAACTTTCTAATACAAGGCAGCAGGTTTAACTAAAATTAAATATGAGATATTTAGAAACTTAGATTAAAAAGCAATAAAAATTCTTTGCAACTTCTTCAATTTATTTTTGAAATATGGCATTATACCATCCATTAAAAAAAACAGTTTTCTATATCTAATATCCAAAGAAAAAGAATAACAAAAAGACTTAAACAATATCAGACTTATTATACTTTTAAAAGCAATAAGAAAATACTTTACAAAAATTATCACTAATCAATTGGCAATAATTTATAAGACCAAGAACATTTAAAAAAACCAAACTTTATTTGACTGTTAGAAAAAAGTATCTTAAAATAAATTCAGCTTTTAAATAATATTTGTAAAGATATAAGAAAAGAAAAGAAAAAGCTTTGGATTCTGCTTCAAGATATAGCAAAAGCATATAATATAGTCAGTTTAACAATACTTGAAAAAATATTATAAAGAATAAAGATTTTATTCAAAATCATTAAACTAATATTGAGCAATTTATTAATAGAATATTTAAAGTAATTACAGATATAGATTTTATTTAAAAAATAATAGCTGAAGATAGAATCAATTAAGATTTCACTATTATAAAAATTTTTTTATAACCTCTTTATATACAAAATCCAAGAAAATCAGACCTTAGAATATAATATAAACTGTACTTGGTTAGCAGATTTCAGCAAAACAGTCCAAAATAAAAAATATATACAAAAGTTTTCTATCAAACAGACAGCTATAACATATAAAAATAATATAATATTAATTGCTTAATCCAAACAAGACATAGATTATATCTTATAAAAAGCAAATTAGTTCTATATAGCTAATAATTCTTATATCAATAATAAAAATTCATATTAATAACAATTAATAATAAAAACAAAAGGTTCAATAAATTATATAGAAAATTAATCAAAAAAAATTATTAAACTGAATTGAAAACATTATTTCTGTTTCTTAAAGGTCTAGCTTGAAAACAGGTGTTGTATCAAAAATACAATTTGCAGAATTAAACAAGAAATTCAATTAGTAATAACTACTCTTTTTTTTTTAACAGGTGGCTTACACCTTGTTTATTAGATTTATAGGTTGAGTATATACAAATTTGTTTTATACAAATTTACCATCTGTCTATTTAATTAAACTCACTAAGAAACTTGTTCTATTATGTGGCTTATTGCCAAGTACTGGTATATACTTGACTAATTTGCCAAGGCTCTATCTGTCCCTAAAAAATTTGTTTTATGAGTATATATCATATTCCAGTTGATCCAGTGTTGTGTAACATATTTGAGGAGTGAGTTGATCCCTGGAATGTATGTTTTGTTTTCTTTCTGTGTTTTTCTGTTATTTTTCTATATTCTTTTGTCTTTTTTAATAATGCTATTGTTTTTTTTTCATTCTACGAAGTTGTCGTATCTGAATTTCTATCTTTTTTGTAGTTCATTGAGTAGGTGGTTGTGGATAGCTTTTATGGTTTCTTTATATTTATCTGGTTGTGTGTATTTTTTGATTGTATCAGTTAGGTCGTTAGTTAATACTCTTTTTGTTATGTAGTTCTTGACTTCTTGGGTTCACATTTGTTGTTTATTTATTTAATCCTTTATTTTTCATTTGATTTTTTTTTTGTTCTGCTACTCACCTCTTCGTTGATTATTTGTTTAAGTTTGGTGAAGATATTCTCTTTATATTGTTTACAAGTCATTATGTGTATATTGGTTTTGATATGTTTGCAGTGTATGTATTGGTCATCAGTATATATACTTGATGATCTCTTGTGTAGGTTATTTTTGGATGGGAGTTCTAGATTCTATAGTTTGAATCTAAATGATCTGGTGTTGTATTTGTTTGTATTTGTTGCTTCTGTTGTGATTTTTGATAGATGTTTGTTAATTATTGATTCTTTCCACATGATATTGTTCTTTGTGTTTTTGTTTGTTGTTGTTAAGTTTCGGTTTAATATTCTCCAACTGAGGATATGTTTAATTTTGATTAGATTTTTAGTTGTTTCTGTTATTGTATTGTCTAGGGTTTGTTCATTCCATTCTTGTAACCATCTTGTTTGTTGTTGAGTATTGGTTTGAAGCTGATTTCAGGCATGTAAAGCCTATTGTTACATCTTTTGCTAACTGGTCTGCTTTATTATTTTCAGGATCATTGCTGTGTGCTTTTATTTTTTTGAAACAGATATTGAGTTTTTGTTATTCTATAATATGTATAATTGTATTAATTAGATTGTTGTTTGTTAGTGTCCTTAGTGTAGTGGTTGTTTCAAACTTTGTTAATTGCTCTAAGTGCTGCTTGGCTGTCTGTACAGATTGTGATTTTGCAGTGTGCTGGTATTGTGAGGAGAAGTGTTGCGATAGCTGCTAGATCTGCTCTAGTGGATGATGGAAATTTATTAATTGTGCCTTTGAAGGAGGTGTTGGATATTTGTGATATGTGCCAACTGAAGCCCATTCTGTGATCTGTATTCATGGATTCAGCTGTATATATTGTTATTATTCTAACTATGCTCAATTTATGTCTTATTTCTGCTAGCTCATTCAGTTTTGATTCTGTTGTATCTATGTATTTACTGATTGTATCTTTATATAATTTTATTTAGTTGTTTTCTATCTTTGGTTACAGAAGTAAATTTGTTAATTGGAATTTATTTGCTCTTATATTGTCAATACTTGTAGGTATAATTCTACTTTGGTGGCAGAGTATTTTGTTTGGTATGTCTCTTGAACTTGTTTTGCTTTTATGTACTGGAATACTAATAAGACTGTTTTTATCTTTACTGAAGATGCATTCTCCTGGTTTTCCAGCTGTGTTAATTTGGCATTTTTTATACTCTTGTAAAGGCAAATAGTTGTTGGTTCTAATGTAGTGTTATAACTTTACTGAATTATTTTTGATTGCCTTTTTCCTTCCTATGATACTTCCAATTGCGAATAATGTTGCTATCCATTTAATTTCTTTGTTGGAGAGCTCGATTGCAAGTTTGTGGTCTGTTTTTTTGTAATTTCCCTTTTGCTATCTTTCTTGAATTGTTGTTAATATGGTTTAACTTTCTTGGATTTCTCGAAACCAATTGGGTTTTCTACCATTTGATTTTTTGTTGGGGTGTGTTATTTCTATCTATGCTATAGTGCAGGACACTTAAAGACTACAATAAATTAAAAAGTTAATAATGCCTTATACAGAGGTGATACAAAAAAAAGAAGGCTGCTATCTTAAAGTTAAGCCAATTTATTACAAAATGTCAGTCTCCTTTTTTAAAAATAATTTTTTATTTTTGAGTTATAATAATTTAAAAACATCTTGTTTTCATATGATTGATAATCAAATAGGACAAAGAACATGACTTGTGATTGACTGATTTTTTGATTTTATTGGCTGCTAGGTTGATTTAATTTATCAAGTATTCCAAAGAAAAAATATAGTAAGCTTTAAAAGTACAATAATATAAGAAGGGAATTAGCTAAGAGAAAACGAAAAAAAAAAGCGGAGGAGGAAGTCTTGAAGGAAGTCTTAGAGAAGGACAGTAAGCTTGATATACAAGAAGAGGAGGATAATGAGGAAAAAGTCGACAAAGAAGAAGAGAGAATATGTATATGGTTACTTACTATAGCATTCAATATAAGAACAATAAAGGTATACCAAAAACAACCTATTATCGTAAATTCGGTCCTTCCAATATACTTGCCAATTCTGCCAAAGAAAATCATAAAATCACCAGTTATTTTGAAACTGCAGAGTCTTCAGTTAGTGAGTTTTTTGATAGGTCTATGGTGTTTTCAGTATCTTTTATATCTTCTTTAGTGGATGGATTTATAGTGACTTCAGTATCCCCTATATCTTCTTTAGCAGGTGGGTCTATAGTGTCTTCAGTGTCTTCCATGCCTCTGGTATATTCAGGTAAATTGGACAATAATATGCTTTATGAAAAAATTGCTCAACTTCAGAAAACTCTTCTAAAGAATGAGCAGATATTCACAGTCATTGAGTATAATAAATGACGAGCTGTCTATGAGTATCTTATATAGCTAAATGATAGCAATGGCAAGTTGAAGGCAAGCGAGGAAGCTGCGAATATAATCTATATCTCTTCAAGATTATATACAGCTAGAAGAATCCACCTTTTGGCTAAATTTTATTTGCATCACAACTTATTTCTACTTTCCCATCATGGCCAACACCAAAAACACGTGCGGCTTGTCGATGATGAAGATATCGCATTAAAATATCAACAATAGATACGTCAGAAGTCGGAGTAGATGGTATTAGTCCATCTCGATTTAAGCAGTATGTGGATGATATTATTTTGCCAGGATATATCAGAACTAAAAAAATGATTAACCTGCGAATGGCAAAATAATGGTTAAATATTTTGGGATGCCAATTTAAAGAATATTAAAAAGGATTATATTTTGATGGGCATGAGCAGGAGGATGTTGTTGCATATTGAAATACTTTTTTGAAAATAATGAAGAATTTAGATTGACGAATGACAAAATATAAAGGTGAAAAAATGGAAGCAATTTCACCAGCACTTAAAATAGATGAGCGAGAGTTAATTCTTGTTACTCACTATGAGTGTGTCTTTTATTCTAATAATGGAAAGAGAGGAATTTGGATACTAGATAAGAAAATGCCATTGCAGAAAAAAGGGAATGAAAGATCAATTATGGTAAGTGAATTTCTTTTGGAGGCCTGTGGTCAGTTGAGACTAAGTGAGGAAGAAGCAACACTCCATCCAAATATTTCTGTAGAGGCATATTGTTATCTCATGCCTGGCAAAAATAAAGAAAACTATTGGACAATTGTGTATTTACTAGAACAAATCAAATATAAAGTGATTCCTATTTTTAAAGCAAAGTTTTCTAATGCAACAGCTGTCTTTGCCTTTGATAATAGTACTAATCATGCAGCATATGAAAAAGATACTCTTGTTGCAAAAAAAATGAATCTGGGACCTGGAAGAAAGCAACCAGTAATGCGACCAACAACTTTTGTTGATACTAACGGACAACAGAGAATTCAGCAAATAGTATTCGAAAAAGATTATCCCAACCTGACTATGCGAGAAAAACCAAAAGGAATAAGGAAAGTATTGGAGGAAAGAAGACTTTGGAAGAGAGAGTTGAATGTAGATTGTCAAGCATGTAAGGATAAAAAGTTGACAGAAGAATCTTTGCAGATGAATTGTTGTGCAAGAATGCTTATTGCCTCCTAATTAGATTTTATTACACAAAAGTCATCTATTGTTGAGTTAATTGAAAGTGCCAGTCATATATATGTTTTTTATTCAAAATTCCATTATAAACTAAACTTTATTGAAATGTATTGGGGAGCGGCAAAACGCTATACTAGAAACTACTGCGATTATACATAGACTGGCTTACAAGAAACTGTTTCACAGGTACTTGATTCAGTGGACATTATTATAATAAGAAGATTTGTTCAAAAATCATGGAGATATATGAAATTGTATTGTGAGGGGCTAACAAGAAAATTAGCAGAATATGCATGCAAAAAATTCAAGTCACATAGGTGGATTCCACAAAATGAGCTAATTTTATTTAAGAGAGAAGCTAATAATTATTAAAGTGATTAAATTATACTTTAAAGTGAAAACCAATTAAAGCTCACATGTCTCGCAAGTAAAATTACATAGTTTTTAGGGAAGATATTGTTGTAACCATCTTAAAAACCTTTAAATAAAACTTATGTAAAGCATGATACAACTTGGTTAACTGGCATTTTATTTGATAAGAGGCATGTCTAAATGTTTATGTCATTTTGCAAGCTTACCACTTTCACCATGGACTAATCTCCCATCAAACCTTTATTTTGTCACTTCACTCAACTATCCAGGAAAATTTAGAATTTTAGTACCAGTGGATTAAAAACTATTATAAGCAGAAGGAAACGCTTACAGTTTAATCTTATTCTCTACAATTTTTGTGTTGCTGTTATATTACATCACTATTTAAAAGCTATCCTGCTAAGCTTTTGTTTTATGACATGTTCAGTAATTCGTGATTATAAATTATGTGACCATTATCATAACAATATTGTAAATCGATTTTTGGACTAATTTAAATTTGGACTTCAAAATGAGACAAGTCACGTGATTGTAGTCTTTAAGTGTCCTGCACTATAACATTCATGATTCTGTATAGTTTGTGAGTTGATTTAGGAACATTATTTGGTTTTTGGCAAGTTGTTTTCTGTGTTTGTTTTACCAAATTGGATTAGTGAGTTCTTCTATTGTTGTGTCTGTTTCTTTTATCATTGTTATTATGTTTGTTGTTCCTGTAAAGTCATGTTATCTTAGAAAAAATATTGTGTCATGTGTGAAGTCATACCCTTGTGTAAGAAATGTGTTTTTGAGATGTCTGCTAGTAACTGATTTTGTTAACCATGATCTATTTTGTAGTTCCTGCAAGTGCATTGTTAAAGTGAAAAATAAACTATATAAATAATGAGAAAAATAAAAGTAAAATAAAGTAGAATATAAAAAGTAATA